GTAGTAGTAGTAGTAGTAGTAGTAGTAGTAGTAGTAGTAGTAGTAGTAGTAGTGATGGTAGGCTACTTCAAAGATAAGAAACTGAAAGACAAAGAAGCACTGGTGAATAAAACATTCAAACAAACGAACAAACAAACAAACAAACAAACAAACAGACATACCCGCTCGAGCGATCTCCTCCATGCGAGCTCTCTGACGTTCTCGCAGAATCTCGCGAGGGTTGGGTGGTGCTCTTTGTGGCCTCCCCAGTGAGCGCACGGCTGGTGGAGGAGGTGAGTCCAGTCAATAGATCGTGAGTCCAGTCAATACAGCACGTTGGAGGAGTGAGTCCAGTCAATACATCGTGAGTCCAGTCAATACAGCACGTCGGAGGAGTGAGTCCAGTCAATACAGCACGTTGTAGGAGTGAGTCCGGTCAATACAGCACGTTGGAGGAGTGAGTCCAGTCAATACAGCACGTTGGAGGAGTGAGTCCAGTCAATACAGCACGTTGGAGGAGTGAGTCCAGTCAATACATCGTGAGTCCAGTCAATACAGCACGTCGGAGGAGTGAGTCCAGTCAATACAGCACGTTGTAGGAGTGAGTCCGGTCAATACAGCACGTTGGAGGAGTGAGTCCAGTCAATACAGCACGTTGGAGGAGTGAGTCCAGTCAATACAGCATGTTGGAGGAGTGAGTCCAGTCAATACAGCACGTTGGAGGAGGTGAGTCCAGTCAATACATCGTGAGTCCAGTCAATACATCGTGAGTCCAGTCAATACATTGTGAGTCCAGTCAATACATCGTGAGTCCAGTCAATACAGCACGTTGGAGGAGCGAGTCCAGTCAATACAGCACGTTGGAGGAGGTGAGTCCAGTCAATACATCGTGAGTCCAGTCAATACATCGTGAGTCCAGTCAATACAGCACGTTGGAGGAGTGAGTCCAGTCAATACATCGTGAGTCCAGTCAATACATCGTGAGTCCAGTCAATACATCGTGAGTCCAGTCAATACAGCACGTTGGGGGAGTGAGTCCAGTCAATACAGCACGTTCTACCGGTTTTTGGCGGGCTTCTATGTATTTGTTGGGGTTGGGTTTTTTATAGATCGAGCTCAAAATACAGGGCGCTGCACAGTGGCGAGCGGCAATGGCATGGCTGTAAATTGTTCTGTATTGATGTAATATTTGTGTATTTATGTGCATTTACGTATTTGTGCGTTTGTGTTTGTATTCATAATTATAGATTTATTTAAGTATATATACATGAATGTATGTATGTACGTTTTCCACTTTAAACCAAATTGCCCTTCTGGGATCAATAAAAGTGTTATTTATTTATTTATTTATTTATTTATTTATTTATTTATTTATTTATTTATTTAATTAATTATTCATTTATCTGTCCCCGTGCTTTTATGCATCCCGCATAAGTTAGGAAAATTTGATCATTTTGTGCATACATTCTGATTTTTTTCGTTTTTCATTCTTTGTTAAAATTTAAAAATCAACAGAATCGCATAATTTCACATTATTGGGCTTAGTTTGCATAATTTCAGAATTTTTCTCGCTTAAAACGACGGGAACAGATTTATTTATTATTTTATTTATTTATGTATTTAAAGTAAAGATGGCTCACCTGGCGGAACTCCCCCCTCCTCCTCCTCATCGTCCTCCTCATCCTCCCCGCCCGCCGGGCCCCCCTCCCAGCTCCCGTCTCGAGTGGGCGTGGCCCTGAACGTCGCTGTTCTCCCGTCGCCACCGCCGCCATGTTGATCGTCACACACGTCACTTCCGGCCGCCCTCAAGGGACTGTCTGATTGGTCCCCGCCGCCGATTTCCGGTTCTTCGTTCCCCAACACCACGACGTTATTGTTCTGAGAGTCCTTGTTGGGATTTGGGTCGTCTTTGCCGGTGGTCGTTCGTGCACGCAGTCGCTCGTAAGCCACGACTAGAGATCAGAAGAGTGCATTTCTATTAATATATTTAGCAACTTGGAAAAACATGAATCACTTTCCCCCATGAAACTAGTTGGCAGTTGGCAAGTCCCTTTTCAACATCCCTCTCTCTCTCTCTCTCTCTCTCTCTCTCTCTCTCTCTCTCTCTCTCTCTCTCTCTCTCTCTCTCTCTCTCTCTCTCTCCTCCCCCCTTTCCAATCCAAGCCCTCCGACATAATCTTCCTCCCCTCCTCTTCTCCCAATCTCAGCTCTACCCCCGACCCCAGCCTCCTCCACTTTGCGTCCCCTGTTGGTCCGACTCACCCCTCCCCACCACAGTGCACTGGTCAGTGGTCAGTCCCCTCTCTGTCCGCCAACACCCAGTGTCCTCTCCCTTCTCTCTGTCCAGTCCCCACATGGAGGGGGGTACAGAGAGGTGGTTTCCCCGTGGACAGTCCCCCACCATCCATCCCCCGCCCACCTCCCTACTTATGTACACAGCTACCACCATTGTGCTATGGGTTGTCCAGTTTGCCGCCATCATGTCTTATCACCAGAGATCAATTAGAACTGACGACTGTCGGCGACAAATGTTTCGCCATTTGTTAATACTTGACGACTTCAAAGTTTCTATGAAAAGATCTGGTCTCATATCCACCTATTGATATCATTTTTCCACGTTTATTAGAATTCAATAAATTTGTTGAAAGGGAGAGAATTATTATAGCTTTTGCTTACTTCCCCTTGTGATAGAATTGTTTACGTTGACGGGGAAAATGAAAGAGATTCTGAGGTTATTTAGGGGGGGGGGGGCGGACGGAGTGAAAGGAGGGGTCACTCCCGTATCTGTCCGCCGACCTGTCATGGTTTGTTTGGCGTGAATACGTACACAGCACAGTGAGCTGATCGTGAGCTCTATCACCGTTCCTCTTCATATTGGCAATCGACTGGCTGATGAAGGAAACCACCAGAGGACACAGAAATGGAATACAGTGGACACCATGGACACAGTTGGACGATCTGGATTTCGCAGACGACTTGGCGCTTCTGTCGCACACCCAGGAACAGATACAAGCAAAGACTTCAGTATTGAACAGCCTATCGGAGTCTGTTGGATTGAGGATCCACCCCGGAAAGTCAAAGGTACTAAGGACAGATGCACAACGAAAGGAGCAGGTCACAATAAAAGGAAAGGCCCTAGAAAACGTTGAATCCTTCTGTTATCTTGGGAGCATAATTGACACAGAGGGAGGAACAGGTGCTGAAATAAAGTCCCGCATTGGAAAAGCACATGCTGCTTTCATATCTTTGGATAGGATTTGGAAGACCAGAGAGATCTCACTTCGAACAAAGCTGAGGATTTTCAATTAAAACGTGAAGTCGGTCCTGTTGTATGGATGTGAGGCATGGAACGCATCACAGACTTGTATAAAGAGGATCCGGGTCTTCTTGAACAGGTGTCTAAGAAAGTTACTGAGGATCAGATGGACAGACAGGGTCACCAATGTGGAAGTGTTAAGGAAAACAAGACAGATCCCAGTCAGAGATGAGGTAGGAAGAAGGCGGTGGCGATGGATTGGACATACTCTCAGGAAGTCAAGCAGCTGCATAACAAAGAAAGTTTTGGATTGGAACCCACAGGGCAAGAGATCAAGGGGAAGACCTCGTGGAACCTGGAGAAGAATCACAGAAATCGATGTACAGAAAAGTGGGAAGACATGGAATAACATCAAGAGGCTAGCCCAGGATAGAGAAAAGTGGGGGGTGTTTGTCCGTGGCCTATACCCTGGTGCAGGGTGAGAAAGGCAATGATGATGATGACAGTGAGCCGATCGTGAGCTCTGTGCCCTCCCCCCCACACACATGCACTAACCACCATCCACCATTCTCTTCCCTCCCCCCACACACCCTTTACACCCTCCCACTCCCACGACAGTCCCCCACCAACCACCCTTGGCCATC